CCTGTCCTCAGTGTGCAAGGAAAGCTAGTGATCCAGGTCTCTGGAGTATTTTTTCTCTTCTTACAAAGTCACCAATCCTATCAGATTAGGACCCTAGTCTTAAAACCGCACTTGAACTTAATACTGTCCTAACACCCCTATCTCTAAACACAATTATGTTGGGAATTAGGACTTTCACAGATGATTTTGGAGGGACACATTCACCTTATAGTACCCAGTGAGATCTGTACAAGACTTCTGACCTATAGAACTGTAATATAATAGACTTGTGTTATTTAAAACCACTAGGTTTGTGCTAATTTGTTATAACAGCAATAGGAGGCTAATACCTGAAGTTTACCATTCTCCACTCAAACTTTTCTGAGTCCAAAAGATCTAGAGCCTTTGGGGCCATATGTATACCTGAATGTGTTTGGTGGCTGAGTCCTGCCAGAGCCCTGAGCAGAGAGATCTCTGCCAACACAGCCCAGGGTCCAATGGCTGGAAGTCCTCTGCTGTCCTAGAGGTCACACTTTTCTCTCAAATCAAAACAAAACAAAACAAAAACAGAACCTGGCATTGTAGCCCATGCCTATATTCCCAGCTACCCAGAAACTGAGGTAGCAGAAGTACATGTTCAGGGCCAACCTGGGCAATTTATAAAGATCCCCGTCTCAAAAAACAAAGACAAACAAAACACAAAGCAAAACAAACAAACTGAGGCCCATGCTTGGCAGGCTGCCCAGAGGCCTTTCATCTCAAAGGACATTGCACCCCAGCCGAGGTCTAGGTCATTACACCCAAGTCCATTCTGCTGTGGCCTTCATGCTCTTCTCCCTCACTGGCACCCTCTGGCCTCACTCCCACTCACAAGGCCATTGTGTGGGATGGAGGGGAACAGGACAGATGGGATCACAGCACAGAGAAGGAGGCAGCTCCACAGTCAATATACAACCTCCTGTTTTTCAAAACTTGTCAGCTGAGCCCCATCCCCAGAGAATTTCCCTTCCTCTCTATCCTTGTGCCTGCCATGTTTGTGAGGCTCCTCTCTGGATGTGCTATTGCCATAGCTGCCTTTTTCAGCATCCATGGTCTCCCACCTGCCTCTCTAGTGATAATGTCAAGAGCCTCTGGATTCATCTTCCCTTAACACAAAGCAGAGGGGTCCAGCGTCCTCTGTCTCTACCTCTAGGTAGACTAAGCCCAGGGACTTCTCTTTCTCATTAAAAAAGGCCTCCAAGTCATTTTTCTATAACTTATCCAAGAGGAGAATTTTCTGACACTCCTAAAGAGGAACATCCATAGATCCTGGAAACAGAAGGCCCTATTCTGAGTTTGCATTTTTAGAGGGCCATTAGGGTCTGGCTGTCATCACTGGCAAAGCATGACCTGCATCTATGAGGTTTTGTGACAGACACCATCCAAGCCACAGAGAAGTCATATCCTTTCTCTTGTTCAATGGAGGTAGATGCTGCTTTGGAATATGAGGAGGACCTGAGCCATGGAAGCACCTTCATGCAAGACAGCTAATTCTACTTCTCAAATCTGGACTGCAAGCCATGAGTGGTGGTGCACACCTGTAATCCCAATGGTCTGGAGGCTGAGGCAGGAGGATTTCAAGGCCTCAGCAACTCAGCGAGTAAAATACAAAACAGGCTGGGGAGGATGTGGCTCAATGATTGAGCACCTCTGGGTTTGCTACCTGGTACAAAAAAGAAAGAAAAAAATAAAGCCTGGGCACTAAGCAGAATCTGGAGTGAGAGGCGGCCATTTTGTCTCATACCTCTTGGCTGTAAGATGCTCTAGAATGAGCTTGGCATTCCAACACATGTGCAATAGCTGAGAAGTCTTCTGGTATATCCAAAAATTCATAATATTCTTTCAAATATATGTCTAGGTGTAGCAAGTATGACTCACAGTGCCTTTCCTTTAAATTGGCTAGTAGGTTTGTAACTATACTTACAAACCTACTAGCCAATATACTTTCTTTTATAAAATATTTTATAGGATTTAACAAAATTTTCCAAAAAATGAGATTTTCAAGTTCATTTAGATGATTTTGATTAAAACTTTGATATCTAATATGATGTATTCCCTGTTAATTTTAATGGAAACTGAATATTTTAGAAGAAAAAAAACTCTTCTGAAAATATACAGGGAAATTTTAGTGTTTAATTGTTTTCATTTATTTGTATTTTGATAAAAATTCATATTTTTAAAAATATTTGTTTTTTAGGTGTAGATGGACACAACACAATGCCTTTTTTTTTTTTTACGTGGTGCTGAGGATCGAACCGGGTCCCACCCGTGCTAGGCGAACGCTCTACCGCTGAGCCACCTCCCAGCCCAAAAAACTTCATATTTTTAAACTCTGAATTTCAGTGAATCATTTTATTTTTGATCCTACAGAGCAGTGCTGATCAATAGAAATATAGTGCAAACCATATGTGTAATTTTAAATTTTTTACTAGCTCTATTTAAAAGTGTAAAAATAAGCAGGTGAAATTAATTTTAATAACATATTTAACTGAATACCCCCCAAATAGTACCATTTCAACATGTAATCAATATGAAAGATAATTAACACAGTATTTGGCATTTTTTTGTTTTGTTTTAGTGATGCTGGGGGTTGAACCCACAGCCTTATGCATGCAAGGCAAGTTCTCTATCAACTGAGCTATATCCTCAGCCCAGCATTATTCTTTTTTCGTACTAAATCATTGGATGAATATCTTTTTTAAAACTACTTTTTAGATGTTGATGAACCTTTATTTTATTCATTCATCTATATGCAGTGCTGAGAATCGAATGCAGTGCCTTGAACATGCTAGGCAAGTGCTCCACCACTGAGCCACAATGCCAGCCCCTCTATGAGTATTTTAAACTCACAGCCATCTCAGTTTGGACCAGCCACATTTCAAGGGCTCAGTAGCCCTCATCCTGGACAGCTCAGGTCTCTATCAGTGAAAATGGGTCGCATCAGCGTGGTGAGAGGAATATGGGCTAAGGGCTTCCATTTGTCTCCCTGCCCAGGCCTGACCCACCTTCCTCCCACCGGGAGGACCCTCAGATGATCACATCCCTTCCCTTGTCCTCAGACCCTAGCACCATAAAGTGGTGTGGGTGCTTCTGGAGGTTTCTGTGGCTTGCCTGGGAGTTTGCTGGCAGCTGTCCAGGCTATGTCTGTGGTAGAGCTGTCACTCTTGACTTTGATGTCTGAGTTATATAAGGACGTGGTGTTTGGACAGAAGGCCTAAGGACCCAGGATGTTTCTCTGAAATCGATACCTCTGTTTATTCCTGTCTGTCAAAACACTGGGAATGCCTGCTGCTGGTCTTTTGCTGGAGGGCTGTGAGCCCTTAGGGCCCCATGCATGTGCTGTGGGCAGGGGTCCCCCTCAGACTCCCTATCTCCCAGGGGACCAATGCCTTTCCAGTCCTGCTCCAACCTGTCAGTGATCTCAGCAAATCGGTCAATTGTGTCTCCATTAGCACCTCTGACTACATACCGAGCTTGTTTATTTTACAGATAGACAGCTGTTTCCCCTTCACGGCCTGTTAGCACATCACAGTGACATTGATGAGGGTTGACAGGGTGATTGCCTGCATGGGGGTGGCAGGAGAGTACAGGAGTGAAGAATATGCACTCTGAGAACTCAAGGAATTGGGTTCAAATCCTGCCTTTGCTACTTAGCTCTGTGTTGAAAGTGTGTGAACTTCCCTGAGCTGTCCCCCAACCTGTATGTTGGGAATAATAACAGGATCCAGCTGCAGGTTATCACAAGGATTAAATAATGTATGTGAAGCTCTTGGCTTGCAATAAACTGAGACATGCTAGTCATCACCATTCTTTTCCCTCTGTCCTCAACTCGGGTATTTGTCTTAGATAGATTAGCAAATCTATCTAAGACACTAGATAGATTAGCAAATCATCAAGGAGAATTAAATTGACAGTCCACTGAGGGTTGGAATCTACTAGTGGATCCAGCAGACATTTATGAGGTGAGGTGTCCAGGCTGGGCTCTAGAGGCAGCAGGACAGGGAGGCAGGAAAGCAAGGCTTGCCCTAGGTGAACTCACTGTCTAGTGGGGAGACAGATCTCTGAGCCCATGCCAACTCTTCGGTGAGTGAGGGCTGGGATGGGAATATATAAAGGGTGAGGGCTGCTCAGAAAATCCAATAGGCACAGAAAAGATTTTTAGGAGGAAGTGAGCTTTGGCACTGGACAAAGAATTCTAAATGAAGGTTATTACGTAATAATGTACTGGTCACTTATGAACCTGGTAGGTACTCAGCAAGCACCTGTTGTACTGAGAGAGCTATTCCAAACTGCTGTAGACATGTTAGTTCCAGGATAGGCATTAGCCAATGCAAGACAGTTTCATCATGACAGGGGCTTTGAGCCTATCCCAGTTAAATTTCAGAGGCTTTGGGCTTGGGATATATCTCAATGGTAGAGCACTTGCCTAGCATGTGCAAGGCCCTGGATTCTATCCCCTGTGCTGCAAAAAATAAAAACTAAAATAAAAAATTCTAGGGCTTTGTCTGCTAGGGAGAGAAATGATAACACACAGACTAGACTAAGCTCAATTTTAGGAAGGGGTTGACTCTGATACATGGATCCTGTACTGGTCAGGAACCAACACTGAGCAGAAGTCACCAGGGATGGTTTAAACCTAAGGGTTTTACAGAGGGTGAGGGGATTTAAGGGATAGAGAAGGGAGGCAGAAGCACCCAGGAAGTGTCAACAGTAGGAAGCCATGGAGTAGAGGTGTGGCTGTGACAGAGCAATGTGGTGGAAGGAAAGTGGGCCCCTGCATGACCTTGTGGAGTTAAATTGCCCAGCCTGTCCAAACTGCCTGCCTACCTCTGTGCAGTCACACAAGAAAAATAAGCAGCTGTCTGTTTAAGTCACTGTATTCTGGTGTCTCTATGAGAGCAGCCTAGCCTGAGCTCTAAGGCATTCAAAGGTCAGTGCGGCTGGAATCCGGGGAGGGAGAGAGCTAGCAGATGGGAGCTGAGAGTCCGTAGGCTACCATAAGGAATTTGGATTTTATTCTAGGGAGGCGGGTTATACAATCTGATTTGCATTTTAAAAAGCACAGTCTGACTGGTGGGTGGAGAATGGAATACAGTGAACAAAAGTAGAGGCCTGGGAGGCCCCTGAGGAGACTATTCTGGATATGCAGGCAAGAGATGCCGGCTGCCTTGGTCTAGAGTGGGAGCAGCAGGGGTCGTGAGAAGTGGGTCAGATTGTAAAAGATTGTAAAGATGATAGATTATAAAGGATCAGCTGATGAATTTGACTCTGAGGGTTTGTCTCTTCAGGAATAAATGAAATAAGACAAAGTACTTACCAGACTTTACTTAGAATGTCACTATTGACATTCTGATTCTGAGCATATGTCTGACCTTCACAAGATGCTGGTCGATTGGGTGAGGAAAGCTATCACTACTTGGGTGTCTTTGGACGTGGTCTCATATTGTCCCCAAGGCCAGTCTTGAGAGAGAAGGGTGTCAGTAAGTATGGCTTCAGACTCTGAGAGACCCTCACTGCTACAATCAGTCAGGCTCAGATCGGGTCAAAAATCCACTCATTCTACCCATTTCCGTACATCAGATAATGATCAAGCACCTAGTGTGTTCTGGGAAGTATTCTAGAAACAGAGGGGGAAGTACCAGCAAGACATGTAATGCCAGTGTACTCATCTTCTGCTTTTCTTTGCACTAGGATGTATAGAGAAAAAGGGGCATTTATTTTTATCTCTTCTAACTTTCTGTGCATGCCCCTTGTCACCCTACTGGGAATTGAGGACACTTAATGGCTAAACAACAGGACCACAGTTTCTTCACAGTTAAAACTCAGGCTCTCTGAATCCTCTCTCTTGCTCAAGATGGATTATGATGTACCTGGGGCTGACTGCAGGAGGCAAGGTGGGGAGGGGCCTTGATGTCATGGGGGCCCCTTCAAGTACCACCGCTGCTCACCTGTATGAGTGCACCATAATCTCCTTCCAGAAACTAAATAGGTAAAGAGCAAAACCTTACCCCTGACTCTCCTGTTCGGTTTTCCCTGGGTCTATAGAGCAGCCCACCTCTGTCTGGGACATTAGGGTCTTAGAGAATGGCATCCCTACCCATAGGCTTTTTTGCCAGCTGCTGCTTCCTCTAGTCCCATCTTCTTCAACCTTCCTCTACTAGTGTTTGGATCTGAAATGCCCCCCAAAGACCCTTGGGTTAAAGACCTGGTCCCTAGCCCATAGCACTGTAGGGAGGTTGTTGAACCTTTAAATAATGAGGCCTAGCTGAGGAAGTTGTGTTCTTAGGGCTGTGTCCTTGAACAGGATATTGGTACCTGCCCCTTTTTCTCTCTTTGCTTCCTGAGAGGAGCAGCTTCCTCTGCCATGTGCCGCTGCCATGATACCCTGCTTCATCACTGGCCCCCAAAGAGTTGACTGCCTGGCTGACCATGGCCGGAAACCTCCCAAATTGTGAGCCAACACAAACCAACACAAACTTTTCCTCCTTCTAAGTTATCTCAGGTATTTGTTACAATAGTGAGAAGCTGACTGACACATCCACTTTCTTTTCCTCTCTTACCAGAATATCTTCTTGGCCTCCTCCTACTGGATTTGACCTCCTTTTCCCATTTCTCTGGGAATCATAATGGTGAAGTGACTTCCAGGTAAGGTGGACTGATTTATAAATATGTATTTTTAGTGTGTCTCATGCAATATTCAGGCCAAATTTATGTTAAAAAGTATTTGTTGTGCCAGAAGTGGTAGTGTAATGCCAGCAACTTGAGAGGCAGAGGCAGGAGAATCACAAGTTCAAGGCTAGGCTCAGCAACTTAGGAGGACCTTCTGCAGCTTAGCAAGATCTTGCCTCAAAAAAAATCAATCAATCAATCAAAAATACTTTTTTGCTTTTGTGAAATTGAAATTGAACTGGTTGTCTTGTATTTTGTTTGTCAATCCTACTACTAGGGAACTTGCCTACAGGGGAGAGGAATGAAAAAACATAGCCATTAAGTATTTTCAAAATATTTTGCCTGATAGAGAGCCTACCCACTTCTGGCCTCTTGGCTAGACACACTTGTAAGGCTTTAGAAAGAAGGAACTCCTGGATCGGCTGTGCTCAGGTCTTTAGAGGAGCTCATTGTGTGGTGTATGTGAAAGGGGGAGGGAGGCAGGGGCCAGCGGGGATGGTGAAGGAACCAACTTTGGCTTTCTGCCCTTCCTCCCCTAATCACACCAAGCAGGCTTCGCTGGGATGTGGGTAGCCTCATCCTGCTGGCAAAGCAATTGCTTACCTAGGACTTTTATGAGGACATTTTTACTGAGCTGTAATTGAAAAGAAAAAAAAAAAAAGCTCCAAGACATTCCAGATTTTTCTCATAAGCCTACCTTAGGCATGTGTGTGTATTTGTGTGTGCATGTGCACTTATGCATGTGTGTGTGTGTGTGTGTGTGTTTGTGTGTTTGAAAGCTTGTATATTTTGGCTGGACCACACCAGGGTTTTTGTGGAAAAAGTGAGGAATTTTTTGTGTAAGGACCAGGATAAAGATCAGCTGGGCATCTGGAGTGCCTGTAAGACCCTTTTCATTAAAGCAAATATTCTAGTAGTTGGAGAATCAGGGTTTTATGGAAGAAGGCTGCATTTGTCATTATAGCCTAATATCCTAATTTAAGTTTACAACCATATTTAAGAAATCTGTGACAGAATAGAGTCGGTTCTGTATGTAAAACTGCTTGGCAAAAGTTTATAAATCATGTACATATATTTAAAAGAATGTGAAAGTAAATCCAGATGATGACCTTTCGGAAAAAGGCTGATTGCAATTGCCCTTTGTGCCCTACTGCTGTTCTGAGAAGTGGCAGGGAAAGCTTGTGCCTGTTTGGGGGACTGTGTGACCAGCTTTTCTTCCCCTGACTCAGGACAGATGGAGATACAGATTCTCCTTTCAAGTCCTTGTTGCCTTGGCAGGAAGAAAACCACTCAAGCTTTTATTAAGCATCTACTATGTGCCAGGCACTGGGCTGCCTCCTCATTGCCATTCTCACAGCAGACCTGAATGATGCCGTTAGTCCTTTCTGTTTTGACCCTTGAGGAACTTGAGTTTCAGGAGAGTTAAAAATCTGTGCAGGTTCCTGCACCTGGTTAAAGGGTGGAGTTGGGATGAAAAACCTGCATCCCTGTGTGCAGGGCTCTTTCTCTTCATGCTGCTTTATTCCCACCCCAGGGAGCAGCTCAGCTCTGTGGTGCTAATGGTGGAGGTGGTATCTTGGTGATCGGTACATAAGCATCTCTTTGACTAGAGACATTGCTACTTCTCTGGAGGGACAAAGCTGGATCAAGAATGAGAAAGACCATGCTGTGTATCCTTGTGTGGTGGCCATCTCTGGGACTAGACTGAATCTCCTGACCCATTGTCCTCCAAAAGGTACTCCCTCTTGTGACATGATGACTGTGGTCTGATCTGAAGTTCAAGGCGAGAATGGATGATGAGGTTCTTTCAGGTGCTAAAAGATAGACTCCCACTCAGGGACTTGAGGGATTCATTCTAAGAACCTCATTTGAGGAAAACAAATACTGTCCCAGAGAATGGGAATGTCTGCAGGAGATTTGGTGACTGTGGTGACCAGGTTAATGTGGGTTCTCAGTTGCAGGGTGCTGCACATTCTGGGGCTTTGGCTTTGGGGACACTCAGCTCCTCTCTGCTTTGCTTCTGATATTGCTATTTTCAGCCCCCGACTCCCTCTGGTTGTCCACTTGTGACTTCTGCTGCCCCGTGGCCCCTGCTTCCCCACTCGACTCCGGGTACCTTCCTCCATCCTGCTTCCTCTGACTCTGTATTCACATTCTCCAAGGCCCTCACTGGGCCAGGACTCCCTCCCCATGAAAGAGCCCCCGCCCCACTGCAGCCCATGCATCAGATGACCTCACTGGCCTCTGCTTTCAGTGGGTCTGGAGACAGAACAGTGAAGACCACACTTGGTGACAAGTAACTGAGACTTGGAAAATAGCAACCTAAATGAGATAGTTTTTTTCCTTTCATGTGAAAATGTGGCTGCTTAAGCTGCCCAGGACAAGCAGGGAGCCCCACAATCTCATTCAGGCTCCAGGTAGCACCAGAGAGGCAGGGCCCAAAGGACACGTGGCTCCTTTGTAGAGAGGCTTCTCAAGTTCCACGCAGGAATTCCACTTCCATCTTAATATTCAAAAAGTAGTCACTTGGCCACATTTACCTTCAATGGGGGTCAGCTGGGTGGCAATGTACCCAGCTAACAATTGAGGTTCTTCACCAGAGTCAAAGGGGAGGATGGATATTGGGAGGCAAGTAGCTGCTGACAAAGATTTTCTGCTTAAAACCAAACCCTAGCCAATTCTACACTTTCTCCTAGGCCCATCTGTGCACTTGTTGGTAAAATCCAGTTTTAGCAAGGACTCTGCTATGTCAGTTTGGCAAGGCCTCCTCCCCACACATGATATCTGATCACAATCAATATCCCATCAGGCTCCTCATCCTCCACCATCTCCAAGGTGATGTCTGATCAACTTGACCTGTCTTCAGCAAGGATCCTGTTAGGTCAGCTTAGCCAGAATCCCCCTTACCGCGATGCGTCTTTCTTAAGAACTTTCCATGTACTCTCCCCTACCCTGCCCCTTGGGTATAAATTCCAACTGCCCATGCTATATTCAGAGTTGAGCTCAATCTCTATCTCCTGCTACAAAATCCTATTGCAGTGGTCCTGAATAAAATCTTCTTTACAGTCTTTTAACAAGTGGGGCGTGTGTGTTAAAGGCTTGGTCCCCAGGGTGGCAATAAGGGGAGATGATGGAACCCTTAGAAGGTGGGGCCTAGTGAGGCACTGTGGCGCATGCTTGTAATCCCAGTAGCCCAGGAAGCTGAGGCAGGAGGATTGTGAGTTCAAAGCCAGCCTCAGCAACCAAGAGAGGCCCTAAAAACTCAGGAAGACCCTGTCTCAAAATAAAATACAAAAAAGGGATGGGGATATGGCTCAATGGTTAAGTGCCCCTGGGTTCAATTCTCAGTACCAAAAAAAAAAAAAAAAAATGTGTAGGGAGATTCTGGCCCCTTCCTCTTCCCTCTTTTGCTTTCTAGCCATGAAATATGCAGTTTTGCTCTGCCACATGGTCCCCACCATTGCCTTCCAGCGCCCTCCCCAGAGGCCAAAAAGCAATAGGTCCACCTGATTATGGGCTGGACCCTCTAAAACTGTGAACCAAAATAAATCTTTTCTCTTTCTAAGTTGATTATCTCAGGTATTTGTTATAGTAACAGAAAACAGAATAACACAGTGCCCATCCTGATGCAGGTCCAAATGGTAGAGAATTGGTGACACCAAGAATCCCTCAGAAATTGGTGCTGGTGTCATGGGTGCTTTGTGTGGACTGTATAGACAGCTTATTTATATCTATGTGGCATGGTTTAAAAGGAATCAGAAGAGCCCCTCAGTAGTCCTACCTGCAAATCCACCGTCTAAGTGACACAATGCCTTTCCCAGCACTCTTTTTACACTTTACACCTGATCCTGGAAAAATTGTTGTACTTGTATTTTCTCATTTCTGCTTTATCAGCAACCCTCCTCGCCAATTACTCCCAAAGTCAATGTCACTAAACTGGAGCCCCAGAAAGCTGGTCTGACAGGCAGGGTTGCAGTTGTGGGTCACAGAAGCCCCGTCACATGCTCAGAAGGTACAAGGGCAGGGCCAAAATACTGGCACAGGTCTGTGAAAGAATGGGGTTTGTGGGAGAGGGGCAGGTGGAGGGCTGACGGAAGGCTCCGTAGCAGCTGGGTGCAGGGAATCCCAGGGGACGATGGGTAATGCGAGTAGCTCCCAGGGAGAGGGGACCCGCTGACCTGGCCTCAGATGGCTGAGGAAGCCTGGATGAGCACAGCAAAGCAGAAACCAGGAGGAATGATCCCAGCAGAGCAGAGGGAGGTTAGGTGGAGGAGGATATGGATAGCTGGGTCTGCTTGCCTGGTCAGTCCCCTGGGTAGGTAGGGAGGAGGTGGGATATTTCTCCTCAAGGAGTCTTCAAACCAAGGTTTCCCAGGTCCTGGCTGTGGAATCCATTCTGTAGAGGAGACAGCTGTCAAAGCAGGCTGTGAGCTAGTGGCCAGCAGACCCCCAGGAGTCCTTACCATGGCTAGGCAGTCTGGGATCCCTGAGCAAGGGTCTATAGGCCTGGAGGAAGGTAGGTGGCTGAGGTTTTGGAAGAGCCAGGGGTGGGGCTGAGAGGGGGTAGAGGTTCCCATCTGGGCAGTCTCTCTACCAGTCTTAGTCTGTTTTCTGTTGCTAATAACACAACACCATAGACTGAGTATGTGAAAAAGAAAAGAGGTTTGTTTTGGCTCACAGTCCTGGTCCAAGGTCGAGAGACTACATCTAGTCATGGCCTTCATGCTAGCAGAGTCCTGAGGTGGCACAGGACATCAAACGCAGAGACACAGGAAGCACACATGTCCTGTTCTTTTCCTCATCTTATTAAGCCACCAGTATTGAATTATGAGGCACCACCTGATGACTTACCTGATCCTAATCACCTTCCAAAGCCCCAGCTCTAAACACCATTGTCAGATTTAATTTTTAGTCTCTTAATACCTCGTAATAGGGATTATACTCCAACATGAGTTTTGGAGGGGACAAACCATAAT